AGGCTGAATACAAACCTTCTTAGAACTTGAGGCTTGATCAGTTTCAGAACTGTTTAGGGCATAAACACGTTTAGACGATGGAGTAACTGAGTCTTCTGTATCCTGACTCATTGTCAACAACAGTGGCTGCATTTCATAGTAAGTTGGTTAGTAATGAGTGGAAATATAATGATGCATACTTTAGTAGGGAATAAAAGAAAATATTACCTGGTCTCCAGAAACAATTGATGCAGGATTGACCAACTGATCTGAATCTTCTGGGGCCTCATCTCCTAAGAGACCGTGTTTAGACAGCACCCTGGAAACTTTGTAACAATCTTTCCCATCCCAAATGTTTTCTTTCTCAACACAGAGAAGAAAAAGGAAAGTCTTCCCTTTCAAATTCTGAACCACATCTGGCAGGTCTTCTGGATCCTCAATCTAGAAGTGTTAAATAGAATATTTTTAAAACATTAGAAACAGGTGGTGTTCAAGCCTAATCTCATGTCAACAGATTCAAATAGTTACCTCATCAAACGATCCACCTAACACAGTTGCTGCAGATTCACCAACAATGTCTGCACATATACTATCAAACAGAAGGCATTTTGTTTCACCTGTGTTGTCCATCACTTTAGCATAAAGCATGTACCTGCATGGTATAATAGATAATTAGGAAACTATCAAACTGTACAGATTGTACAATTCAGACAGTTGGGAAACACAGAATTTACATACTTTGCAACAACATTTGTGACAGCATTCTTGCAGACATCACACCAGAATCTAGGTTTTGGCTTCTTCAATGAACCGGAATTAATACCAGAATGTATGTGTGTTACCTTTTTGTTGCAATTACGGCAACTAAAGTAATACCATGCCCAGTCAGTGTCAATTCCATAGATTGTACAAACAACCCTAACTTTACCAATCTGCAAAGACAACATACACCAGTTAATATCAGGAATAATTCTAAATTTAAGATATAAATCAGATAAAGTAATATAACCTCCATAGAACTCAATAGCTCTGAAATTGTCTTCCTCTCATACTGCAGATAGGAATCATCCTTTGCCACTGTAACCATTTGAAACTTGGGCACACTCTCACGGAATGTAAGGGCAAGGCCGTCAGCAGGTAAACTGTAAAACATAGTTAGTTGAATCAGAACAGAACGGTTTTTTGTTCAGTAACTTAAGTACACTAATCTGTTGAAAACTCTTACGCTGTTAGAAAAGCTGCAACCTCTGGGATAGGTGGATTGATGAGAACTTGAGTAGCATCAAAAGAGTTAGATATACTTCTCACTCCTGAAAAGAAAGGTTTAGAACAAAGTTCCTTTGTAGAGTAGATATCTGATTGTAGATATAGGAGAGGTTCATAGATAATAAGTGAATAAGATTAAAGGTAAAAACCTTTGTATGCCTTAATCTTGGCAAATCTGATAAGACAGATGACTCTGGCTCCATCAGCAGCATCGCAGGCATTAAACACTTGCTGAGCGAATGATCCCCACAGGGTACAGGACAGTCGCTCATCACTAACACAAATCATTTATCAGTTATACTAAAGTAATAATAAAAACATAATAACATTAGTATCTACTGCCATTTACTTTTATTATGAAGACTTACTTTTCATCACGCAATTCAAAGTCCAACTTAGTAGTTGGCTTGTTATTAGCTTCCAGAGTTTCCAACTCACCGATGTTAACAACCTGTCCCATAACATCTAAATAGAACAAACAATCTAGTTAGTAATATTCACTAAATAGTAATAGCAACTTTAATTAAAATATTTAAATGTCTTACCAATCAACATGTAAGGATTTAAGTCCCCATTCAGAATGTTTGGGAAAGTAGCCAAGGACAGGTAGCTGGAGTCAGAGACTGGATCACATCGCAGGACAGTTGTCCCAGTGACAAAGGACATCTTATAGAGATGACCAGTTGGTCGGAATTGACCAGATGCATGATTAAGAGCAAAGGTCTCAATAAACCTCCACTCATTAACAGGCAGATGGTTCACATACTTGCTAACCAAGTCCTTCTTGATAGATGCATGAATCTTCATACCCTGTTAACAAAAGAAAAGACATATGATTAACTATCAATGTATTTAAGTAAGTATCAATATGATAGTTTTAGGAGTTTTATATATGTAGACATATAGTTACCTGTGCATCAGCCACTACTAACTCTAGTGTTTCTCCTGTGAGGTTAGTATACTGGCGCCATGAGTGAAGCACCTTAACTTGCACACGCCAGGAGGTCTTGTAAGGCCTGATGTCTCTCAAGAAAGCAAAAGAGGCAGCCATTTCAATTATCTGGTATGTATTTAGCTGTGTTAGTGTTTCTATTGTGAAGCGTGAAGAATATCATAGAAATGTTTCAATATATATAGTGAATTGGTAGGGAATTAAGGATTTGTGATAGAATCCACGCATATCTTGATTACCACGGTTTGAATATCAGAAAAAATATTCTGATTGGCATATACTGTGAGCAAATAAGGATCATATCTTTTTGGTTAGGGACAGTTGACATATACTTGAGATACCAAATCGTCTGAGTAATAACTGATAGTGTAATCGAAATGAATGAGAGATATTATGTGGATTTTTTGTTTTGGGAAGTTGGAGTTATAGCATATACTGTGAGAAAATAAGGATCATATCTTTTTTATTAGAGGCAGTTGACATCTACTTGATAGTGTAATCGAAATGAATGAGAGATTTTATGTGGATTTTTTTTTTGGTAAGTTGTATTAGTAGGATATACTCCGAAATCTATGCTAATGGTTAAGGTAAGTATCATAACTATATGGCTAACAATTATTGCGGGGCAGTTATAAGAGAATATTTAGTCGAAATAGTTGATTTTTTTTTGGAAATTCGAATTTAAAAGGATCGGAGAGTTTTGATTGGAGGATGAGTCGGGTCAAAAAATCTAATCGGGTCAAAATCTTAAAAAAAACCCGACCCGATTGGCTTTTAGCAAAAATGTACTTCAAAAATGTTAAGTAGATATCTCACTCATCAATCAGGCCTATTAGCCTCGGAAACTCAATCCTTGTAAATTCAACGGAGAGAGAGATCAGATTCCGGCGTCCCAAGGAAGCACAAATCTTAAGATCCAGAATCGCCTGAGATGTCTACCTTCAGTGGCGATGAGACCGCTCCTTTCTTCGGCTTCCTTGGCGCTGCCGCAGCGCTTGTCTTCTCCTGTATATCCCATACTCTCTTATAATCTCCATCTTCTTTTTTGTTTTTTTGTTCTTAATTGTTCACTGATCTTGTGTGTGTTTGGCCTTTGGATCGGCCCTGAGAAGTTCACCGATCTGTGTGTTCCTCTTGATTTTTCTTATAAATTTGAGACCTTAAATTTCTCTCTAGATTTGTTTCGAAAATTCTAGTTTATCATCTTTAATCAGTGGATCAGATTCTTAAGGAACTGCTCTACACTGGTTTTGAGACGAGTCCTTTTTCTTTTCTCCGTTGGTTATGTACTCCAGGATGATCTTTCTAGCAATTGAGACTTTTTAGCCTAGATCTCTATTGTTAAATTTGTTGGTGATCTCTTCTTTGTCCAACATATCGAAATTACCTAGGGATATTTGCTGGATTTATCACGCTTTGTGATTGCCGTGACTGGTACTAATTGAACAAGTAATTATTTACCATCAAATTGCTGAGTTGCTTTCATCCTCGTCAATTATATTTTATCTACAGATCCAAGGCATGTTGATTTACTTGTGTAAAGCACAGTTAGATTGTGAACTTAACAAGTGTGTTTTTAGCCTGACATGGACTTTACCCTTTAACAAGGTATGGGAGCTGCGTACGGGACAGCCAAGAGTGGTGTGGGAGTGGCATCCATGGGTGTGATGAGGCCGGAGTTGGTGATGAAGTCTATTGTCCCAGTTGTTATGGCTGGTGTCTTGGGTATCTATGGTTTGATTATTGCTGTTATCATCAGTACCGGGATTAACCCCAAGGCTAAATCTTACTACCTCTTCGATGGATATGCCCATCTCTCTTCTGGTCTTGCTTGTGGCCTAGCTGGTCTTTCAGCTGGAATGGCCATTGGTATAGTTGGTGATGCTGGTGTCAGGTATGATCCTCCATTTCTCTCTTTGCAGATTCACATTTATGGCTTAATTTGCTAGAAAGACTCAATTTCATAGTAGAAGTAATGAACCATAATATCATGAGTTTAGTGTCACAATTCAGTTTGATGCAAATTGGTAGGGAATATGTGCAATTCACTGAATGTTGATCTATAATGAAAGAAATGTCAGTTCATTACATAGCGTATTTCTAGTGTCTTAAAGATTTGTGTCTAATCCCCTCTTATATCCATTTGATAAAGCAACTTTGTGGTTTGATGACAGGGCCAATGCTCAACAGCCAAAGCTTTTCGTTGGTATGATTCTTATCCTCATTTTCGCTGAAGCTCTGGCTCTATACGGTCTCATCGTTGGGATCATTTTGTCCTCCCGAGCTGGTCAGTCCAGAGCCGAATGAGAAAAGAATGCGGTTCTTGAAGTCTGCATGATTCTTTCTTCCCCTTTTCGCTGGTCTCTTCATCGAGCCGGGATCTTCTTATATTATTTGTCAGGTTAGTAGAGACACAGTGGTTTTGTTCCTTGTGGCAACGTGTCTGCTCGGAACAAAAACCACACATCATCATCAAAAATGTTCGTTTTCACCCTTCTGTCATGTTTGTAATGAGACGGTTCCCAGTAAGATAACTGTGGGAGACACCCTATTTATATCGTTTATCATTTTCCTAATAAATCCCCGAAAACTCGATTTGATATTTGTTTATTTTGGTTCTTTTTCTTTTTTGTTAATGGGTTTAGTACTATGATCATGTGGATGTATCTCTTAACAACAAATCCTCGTCTGTATTCATTCCTCATTGCACATTTTGTTGTCTAATATAATTTAAAGCCCAAAGCCTTAGAACTTAAGCCCAAGCCCATATTCATTTTCAATTTACGACAAAGACCTGGACCGATATATATAAAGAAGATAGACGTGAATGAAAACGATACGAGTTATAATTGCGGAATCACGCGACCAATTGATTCTTCTCCCTCCACTCGATTACTCTCTCGATCTCTGCTTTCTCCGATTGTTCGTTCTCGCGAGAAGGAAGCTTAGGTTTCCGTTTTGGTTCGTACAACTTCACCTTAATCCGAGGTAGACAAACAATTATGGTTCACTTTGTAAGTTTTGGGCGATTCGATAGAATTTTGGAGTACTAGTTCTACGTTTTCAAGAGTTTAGGAATCGAAAGGTAGGATTTTGACCCGAATTGGTCTTTCCTTTTTGACAGTTGGCGTTAAACTCAATTTATCTACCAGTTGAAAATATGGTAAGTTTTCTTTTTAGTTCTTGAATCACACACAGTAATCTTCATTCTAACTAGGTAATTGTTCTTCCATCTCATGTGTTGGTATTCCTCTGAATGCAGTTTTACGATGGATACGCATATCATAGAACTACCTTTGAGCAGACTTACCGCTGTTATCCCTCATCCTTTATTGATAAGGTTTGATTTCAAAGTTGCTTTCTCATAAGTAAAATTGGACAACTTGTGCAATGTTAAAACCTCACTTTCTCTCAGTTTACAAACCCAATTCTAACTTCTCTTTCCTTTTCTTTCTTCTTTTCACAGCCTCAGATTGAAAGTGGTGGCAAGAGTAAGTCATTAATCTTACAAATAATGTGTCTTTCCAAGTCAATGTTACTCTTTCTAATGCTCAAGTTTTGAAATTTGATTCCTTTAATATCATCTATTTTCAGTTATAATGCCACCATCAGCCCTTGATCGTCTAGGTATATAATTCTTCCAGCTTCTTTTTTGATTTCATGTGATTATTCTGAGCCACTAACATCCGCAACTGTGTACAGCCTCTTTGCATATCGATTATCCAATGCTCTTTGAGCTTCGTAATGCTTCAACTGATCGTGTTTCTCACTGCGGAGTCCTTGAGTTCATCGCAGAAGAAGGCGTGATTTACATGCCCTACTGGGTAATAAACAGTTACTCGGTCTTATCTCCAATACAAGATACTCCCGTGCCTTAAAATTGATTGTGTGTTTTTGCAGATGATGCAGAACTTGCTGTTGCAAGAAGGAAACATTGTGAGAGTTAGAAATGTCACTCTTCCAAAGGGAACCTACGTGAAACTACAACCCCACACAACAGACTTTCTCGATATAGCTAACCCGAAAGCCATGTAAATCCGACTTACTCCTCCCCCTCTTGTATTTTTGTCTACACCTATACTTTGATTTCTTTGCGAATACCCTACTCTGTTTATATTGAAGTGGTTCCTGTGTTTTTGCTGCAGCTTGGAGACCGCATTGAGGAACTATTCATGTCTAACGGTTGGAGATAGCATTATGGTCCCATACAACAATAAGAAATACTTCATAGATATAGTGGAGGCAAAGCCTTCTAATTGTATCAGCATCATTGAAACTGATTGTGAGGTTGATTTCGCTCCTCCCCTTGATTACAAGGATCCCGAACGACCTGTAGTACCTGCTTCAGCTAAAGGTCAAGCAAAAGGTTTGTATGAATTGGACATGAAATTAACACTAAGCTGTGAAATTCTCATGTGGTCTTCTTTTTTTTGATACAGCTAATGAGGTTGCTGTGGCTGAAGCAGAACCAAAGTTTAACCCTTTCACGGGTTCGGGAAGACGTTTGGATGGGCGACCTTTATCCTATGAACCGCAACCTGTTGCTGCTAACAGTAACGGCCAATCACACTCTGTAGCAAGTAGTAGTGGGTCAGAGAAGGCTACACAACAAACTCAAGGGAAACTTGTGTTTGGTTCACATGTAAACCGGGCTACTAAAGAGACAACAAAGGTAAGTAACTTGTTTTAAAAGTATTATGTGCAAATGGGATCAGAGATAACAAATGGAGTAGAGATATAATGTGATCTATCTGTAACTTAGGTTGGAGCTGGGAAAGATAGAAAGCAAGAGGAAGAGGCTGAGAAGAAAGACAAGTTCAACGCTTTTAGTGGTAAGAAATATTCATTGAGGGGTTGAACCAATGTGTGGAACCAATCTCTTGTCTTGTTTATGATGTTACTCGTGTGGTTATGTATTATCCATTGAATCAAACGTTTAGAGGAGAAAAAAAAACACAAATAAAAAGAAGACGATGTATGTAATGCTGTTTGATTCATCATCATTTACATTCTTAATTTCATATTTAAAACCAAGTTGATCCATAGTGTGTAATGAATGTTTGGAGTGGGATTTAGCCATTCATGTGTAAGACTAAGAAGAATGCATGTTGTTTGTGCAAATTTTGGGGAAACGCTGCGCTGTTTACCTAATGAAGAGACGCCAAATGTTTTTATTTAGAGCCGAACCGAACCGAACCGAACCGAACCGTCTTTAAAAGGAGACTCTTGAAATTTTCCAACCGCCTCTCTTGTTCTGAAACAGAAGAAGGAAGGATCTCAGGAGTTTCTGATTTCTCTCATAAATCATAATACTAAATACAAAATAGTAAAAAAAATCCGATCTTCATTTCCTTCAAAACGGCTACAGAATTAGGTTTTGTTTCTTCTCTCTCGTCGATTGCGTGGAAATGTCTTCCCAAATTATTAGGGCACAGAAGAAGCAACCGCCGGAGCCGCCGTGTCTGATTTCGTTACTCCCTGATGAAATCGTCGTCGATATCGTAGCCCGTGTCCCTAGATGCTATTACCCTACTCTCTCCCAAGTTTCCAGGCGTTTCCGATCACTCGTCGCGTCTCCGGAGCTTTACGCCAGACGATCCTTCTTCGGATGCACAGAGCAATGTCTCTACGTCGCAATCTCCAAAGATCAAACCTCTGATATCCATTGGTTTACTCTTTGCCGGAAACCTAACGGCCAACAATTCTCCGGCACCGCCTCTGATCATCGCTTGGTCCATATCCCCTCTCTCCCTCCTATGCCTATACAAGGAAGCTATGTTGGCATTGGTTCGAACATCTTTGTGATGGGTGGATTTTGCAATTGGAAGATCACACCGAGTGTTTCGCTCATCGATTGTCTAACTCACACGGCTCAGACTCTCCCTGACATGCCTAAGGCCGTCGCTATTTCGGTCACAGAGCTCATTGATCGGAAGATTTATGTAATCGGAGGATCAGATACGCTCTCGCCGTTGAAATCTCCGTCAAGAAGTATGATGGTGTATGATACAGATACCGAAATGTGGGAACTTCGGACGAGGCCAGATTGGGAGGCAGGGAAAAGATGGTTTAGCAGTGTGGTAATAGGAGGTAAGATTTACATGAGGACTTATTACAATAGCTTTGTTTACGATCCGATTGAAGATAGCTGCGTTAGAGACGAGGTTCTGCATTCTAAGGAGTGGTCGAGTTCGTGTGTGATAGATGATGTGTTGTATTACTATGATGTTCGTGGGAATTGTTTGAGAGCTTATGATCCAAAGCAGAGATCTTGGGGAGTGGTTAAAGGTTTTGAAGGATTGTTGCCAGAGGCTTGCAAGTGGTCGAAAACTGTGAGTTGCACCGGTGGGAAATTGGTTCTGTTCTTGCAGAAAACAGAGGAAACAGAGATTTGGTGTGCGGAAATCGCAGTGGAAAGACGTGAAGGTGGAGAGATTTGGGGTAAAGTGGAGTGGTGTAGTGTTGTGCTTGGTGGGAATTTTCACATTATGGATTGTGTAGCTGTTGAGCTCTGATCTTGTGATGAAATAGACTTTTCTTGTCCCCTGTTCTTGTGTGTTTACTAGCTAGCTTATGAATGTGCTTTAAAACTTCCCTGTATTCTTCTGTTTATTAGAGTAAGTTTGTATGGTGTGATGTTGTTTTTGGTGGGGGCAATCTTACTTACATTTGTTAATAGAGTCCCCTGCTGCTACTTCTCTTCTTTTGTAGTGATTGATAACTCATTTGGGGTCTATTCGAAACTTACGGAGAGAGATAGATAAAGAGTCACAAATTGACACAAGGTTGGAGTAAACAACTACACTTCATGTATAATAAGGACATATCTAGTAACAATAATAGAATAACAAATGCATATATTTTTGTATTGTAAGGACTATTTTGGGGATTGCTCAGAGATTTATACTCTTTACTGTTTGACAAAAAATTGTTTTCTTTAATAAAAACTTCTAACATTTCCTACTGTGTTAGCCTTGTGTGTGTTTACTTACATACATACACACACAAGTACACATAATAAATTTTGCGTTATTATGAGTTCTTTTTTTTTTGGTCAAGATATAATAAGTTTTCCATAACATAAATTTGACTGAAAATTTGGTAAACTATATTATTATGTTTCTATTTAGAATGTGTTTACAAGTGAAGTTATTTTTATATTAAAAATATAAGATATAAACAATTTTTATGGGTAAAAAGAAAAGAATTTGATGGAAAAGCAAATTTCAATTACAACATTGTCTGTTTCAAAACAAAAGAAAGAAAAGGATATGAAAAGACATAAAGACGATATACAAAACATGGCTTCTGCTACAAGAAACCCAAAAGGAAAATGTCATTGGACCAAACAGAAGTTAGAAAAGTGTAGGCATGCTTTTTCTCCAACTATGCGATCTCCGAGTCGTCAAGAACGAAGGAGGTGTGAAGGTCAGACCAAACATCTCCTTCATGGCTCTGCCTTGCTCAGCGAACCTCACAAGCTTCGCTACAACATCTGCGCTTTCCACAACCTGAGTCGTGTCCTTGGGATTGCTCCAGAGCTCGTTCACAAGTTGTAATCGCCTGCGTTTGGAGTTAACCGCAATCCCAAACTTGTGATAGATTCTTTTCCTCTCTTCTTCTGAAAACCTTTTCCCCACAAGCTTGCTCAGCATCTTTCTCTCCCTGTGAAGCGCTTTCCGGCTTCACCACAAAAAATAGTATGCCTTCAACAAAACTGCAACCACTAATGCCAAACGCTATATACAAACGCTAAAAAGATCTAACCTTGAGGCCAATGTTAAGGTTTCTCCTCCTTCCAATGCTTGGTTTCCCTGAGAGAAGCTATCTTTCATAAACAAAAGTCTTCTTATCTCTACTCCGATGTAGATTGAATCCGCCTCATCTCCTTTGAAGAGCAAGTAGAAGTATGTTCTATGCACCAAAGAGATGTTACAAGTTTGCCATAAATCCAGAATCTCTTGCCGCTGTCTCTCAAATTCTCCGTCCATGGATATTAGACCAATATCCCTCCCCATTTTACCAGAATCCTCGCCATTCGAGAGCTGATCAAACAAAACTTGAAAATCAACTGTAAACTACAAAGAAGAATCGATTCGTATATATTTCCATGAACTTACCTCGCCTTGACGCTTGGCCATCTCTTTAAGCCCTTCAACGAAAGTCCGGATACTAGTAATACCTCCCTCTTCTCCTAACGGCGTTCTGATGCTCTGAGCCCCTGTAGAATCACTCCCGCAAGAAGACATAGAATCATTCCTCGATATAGTAGAACCGAACTCTAAATCAGGAAACGAAATCTTATGACTCTCTGGTCTTCCGAGGAAGCCTGTCCCTAGGTTTTCAGGCGGAGTGCTCGTGCCTGACACAGTCTCTCTGCGGTTCCAGCTTCTCACCCTGACGTTCTGACCTACACTCGTTTCACCATTAGCATCCTCACCACGGCCTAAAACGTTTTCAGGTTCTGCTCTCTTGTCTTTCTTGTTATTATAGACTGTGACTGATTCCTCAGTCTCAATGCATTGAACTTCTCTGCAATATTCTTCTGGTAGATCTTCCGAACGCCTAGGCAAGTCTTCATCCAGATCATCATCGTCAGAGTGAGAATGAACATAAGCTCTTGATATTGACAGCGGTGTAGACATTCCATCTGATATGTAACTCCTTCTGTCTGAATCGACCACACCAGATGTCTCCGATACTGAACCATCATCCCACTTGTCTGTGTGGTTGCCGAAATGCGGAGTTCCAGGCTTCCATAGAGGGAAAACAGAATCAAGCCGTTCAGTAAAATTGCCATAGAAATCTAAGGCAGAACCGTGATATTGGGAAAACGTGATGAGGAATTGAATTATCTGTTGCAGTTGAAAAAGTGAGATTGTGGGAAGAGAGCAATACCTTTGACGCCACATTGTGTTCAATCATTCTCATGAAATCTTCAAGCCGGGACTGAGCAAGATCCCTCTGTTTTCTCAACTCAGCGATCTCCTTTTCCATCTGTGAACATTAACTCTTCTTTATCAGCATTAACCCGCTCCACAGTTACAAAACCAGCCAATGTCATATCAAACCAGAAAAGGAAACTTATGAAAGAAATTTGTGCGTGTTCACAAAAGCAAAAGCACAAACCTTTTGTATCTGAAGATCTTTCTTCCTCACCGTCATTGCACAATCACAGTTTGAGGCAGGTGAGGAGGCAGGGTTTCTCAGCTCGGTCTCAAGCCTCGCAAGCTCACGCTGTAGTTGCTTCAGCAGAGCCTTGTCTGACATAACAACATTGATCCGCGCCTTTGTGGTAACTTCCTTTGCACAGCACGCAAACAAGAGAGTGTTCTTCGTTAGCTCTACATGACTCCTTGCTGGGCTCAGAGTGCAGATGATAGCTGTTCTTGCATTACCCCCCAAGCATGGCTGTAGAATTCGGGTGAGCTTGGAGTCTCTAAAGTTGATGTGCCCTTGTCTTCCCTTACTAGATCAAGTGTAGAAACGAGTGGTTCTATTATTAAAGTTTAACTACTAAGCATGCGAAAGACAGCAATGTTTATAGGATGTATTGTTTACACACCTAAGTTTACGGATCACTGTTCCAAGAGTCAGCAAACTTCTATTGATATGACAGCCTTCCTTAAGTCTTGTACCAGCTGACATCGCCTGTGATGCACGCTCGCTTCCCGCTAGATCGATGAAATTCTGCACATAAAGGGTGATCAACATGAAGACGGTTCTTAGAAAAAACAACCCTCAAGATGCAACATAAAGAAGGGTTGTTTAGCATTTCAGATGAGAGCATACCACACTCGCCATGAGGGTGGTGGAGTTTTCTTTTCCTAAGAACTCACGAGCAGAGCTTTCAACTGTCTAAAAATTAACGAGACAATCAAGGGCCAAGCTAAGTGAGAGAGAGAATTTGTATCATAAATAAAGTGATAGATAAGAATTTAACCAGTCTGATCATTTGATGAGATCTGGAACTTCTCTCATTCAATGAGGTTTCACCAATCTTACGCTGTGCTGCAAAAATGTAGAAACATGCAAGTTTACTTTTCAGAAAACATGTTCTGGAGAAAAATCAGAGTTTCAGATCATGTACAAAACAACACTACTATCATTGGTTACTTCATTTCATAGTAATGGAAAGTGATTTTGACTCTTACCTTCACAAATAGATAGAAGCTCCTTCAGGTGGTTCCAGTCTCGCAAAGTTTCCTCTGTGGCTTTTTCAACAACTGTCCCTTTCTAATAAGAAAGGATAGAACTAAGGAGAGTGAGACAATTTTACAAACTAAAATTGCTCAGTACGGAAAATGACATTCATTTACCTCAGGATCATCTCGTAGCCTCAGCGATGTACCATCCGAGCTAAGCAGATCTCGTATGGCCTCATTGTAGATCTCTATAGCTGAAAATTTAACGGAAAATGCCCTTTCTTCATGCTGCAGCATTATGATCCAATTAGTAGTGCATAAGAAGAATAAATACCAGCAATTACTTTGGAAAAATAATCAGATGCAATGAGGCATGTACCTGAAATATATAGTCAAATATGTCAGCCACAGCGAACTCAGTAATACCAGTCATGGTGTATGTCTTACCGCTACTCGTCTGGCCATATGCGAAAATACTACCTGTCGATCGTTATAGTTATTGAAGAACTTAACATATAGTTTCATCAATGTGTGCATCAGCAAAACAACGGAAAATCAAGCTTACAATTGATTCCTTTGACAACCGACAGAGCGATTTCCTTGGCTCCATCCTCGTAAACTTGTCTGGTGGGGCATTCACCTCGGTAGACTTTATCTGTCACCAAAAAAAAATCAAACAGGGAATGGGAATCTGAGTCAACAACATACGGATGAAAGATGAGATCGTTTTAACAAAAAAGTAGAAGTTTAGAATATCAAAGGTCAAAGCCAGGTATAATTAAGTTCATATAAGAGGTTAACTATTAGTTTGAAGTTCAAGTAAGAGAGTGTTGATCTAATGTATAGAAGAGGTGAAACCGTTAGAGCACTATTGCTCTTCTTACCAAATGAATATGCAGAAGGAAAGTTTGAGCCTTCGCGCAATGTGTTTCTGTACAATATGGTGGTATCATTGATACATTCCCAATCCGCAGCTTCGTTAGCCGCAATCTCTTTCTCATTTAGAGGTCTCAATCTCACCAGAACCAGTATCTTCTCTTCTCGGGCTACAGGCACATGTGTCTTCTCCATCTTCTTTAGCAAGTGCTACCAATTGCTCACCATTGGTTTGAATAATTCAGAGTAACCAGAGGAACCTTTGTTTTCCTGAAACAGTTCAAACTTAAGACCTCTTAGATTGGAGTCTTAGCATATTTATTGTGGAGTGCTGAAGGAACTTCAAAAGCAGAAATGACCCGTATTTTCCAACTAATCACAACCATAAACAAATGGCAAAACTCAGAAATCTGATCGCACCAAACCAAAACTAAGAGATTAAAACATGAAACATGCCTAGAAAGAGAAAAGCTTCTCGGTTGTGCTGAAAGAGAACACTCGAACATTATATATGAACCAAAGACACAAAAAAAGAGAAGACTTGTTGCCATTATAATATTGAGGTTAATACAGGACAGTTTACTTAGAAGGTGATCAACCACAACTGAAGAAGAAGAAACAAAACAAAGATTACCGACTTTATCTGTAATCTGTAATGGTCACCCACTATGCTTGAAGACTAAGTCACGTTTTTACCAAATCTAAACATTGTTTAATCGAATAAGAGAGGTAATGCATGGTCCCACAGACCATGCTTCTCTCCCTATAAAAAGAAATTATCATACTCTAAACTTTGAAAACTGACTAGGATTATAATATATATAGTACACGCAAAATCAAACATAAAGATAATACAGTAGCTTTTTAGTTTTGAATTCATCAATGGAGAGGGAGACAAGGTCAGTCACAAATGCGTGTTCTATAAGGTAAAAGAAAAAGAAGCTTGGAATTTTACTAGTAAAAAAAAAGCATAGAAACTTTTCAATTGCAGCACCAGGACATTTAAACATCATCATTACAAAATGCATCTGAATCTTGAATCAGAATCCTAAGATTTTTCAATCAAAATAAAAGAAACATGCAAAGAGCTCTTTTACCTTGCCTTGAGAGTTAGTTGTCTTTCTTCCTTTCAAAGCAATGTGGTTCCAGAAAGAAGCCTGGTCTCACTCTACGCACTCCGAAGCTCTAAACTGCAAACATCCACTACAGAATTCAGCACTAACCCCACGGATTCGAAATTTTGAAATTGTTTTCTACTTCTCTCTATTAGACAGTTTAATAATGAAAAAAAAAAAAAAACAGATTTTGAAAAAGGAAATTTGTTTTTTTTTTGGGCACATAAAAAAAGGAAAGTACTCCAAAAAGAAATAGGAAGAAAGAAGATGGAAAATTATGATGTCACGGTTGAGAGAACCAACAATGTGAAGGTTATTCTGAAAGAGAACCCTAAAAAGTGTCAATTGATCGCACAACGAAAATTGGAAACACAGTGGTCACCGGAAAACCAAAAAAAAAAAAGAAAACGGAAAGATATGTAAAAGAGAGAGAGAGAGAGAGAAATTACAAAGTTATTACACCCACTGCTACTGCCTGCCTACAAGTTTGGTAGTTGTTTGTTCTTCGTCTTATTTTTGTCTGAAGGGACCACTCATTGATTTGGTCCCAAAGATTCTCTCTTTTTCTATTCGCCGGTTTCCCTTTCTCTCTCGGCTTGGGTTCTTAATGACCGTTTTGCCCCCTGAAACTTTATTAGAAACCTTAAACCTTTATCCGCCACGTGGGCCTCACACTTCGTAGCCCATTAGTGAGAGACTTCTCTTCAGGCCCAGAGGCTCTTACGAATTTGTCATCACTTCATAATGGATAAGAGATATTGGGTATCTAGCCCAGCATTACAAGTAAAGCCCAACAGTTAGCATTGATGCACATGCTAATAATATAACTCTCATTCTTTGGATGCTCTGTGTTTTATATACATCATTTTTCCTGGGCGTTTCACATACATTCAATCCCCTGAGTAACTTATACGCTAGAAAATAGTCTGAATTGTGTGTTGCCATGTTTAAACGTGTGTATGTGTTTGTCTAAAAGTAAAGCAACAGATCCGTTCATAATCTAGATTTGCAATTGAAAAGTACGCAACTGGTAGAACACTTATGTAGATTTATGTATGTTCTGTTTGGATTTTGCCAATGTTTTGAATATGCGTCAAAAAATTTCTTTATAATTTTACAAATGCCAAGTGTCACAAAACAAAGCTACAAAAATGTTTATGGAGGAGAGAAATAATAAACTTTGGGAAGAAAAAAAATACTAACATGATAGTGAAGATGTTAGTTAAATGAAAATGTGAACATAGGCAAGGAAATTAAAACAACTTTAAACCAAGGCCACTAGTAGAGTTCTTGAGAGTTGCTTTCAACTACTTCTCGACCACCAATTTTTTAAATGGCTGGTGACATTTGGCCCACCCACCTCTTTGTCCTTTTTTTTTAAAAAAAAAAATTTCCTCTTTGTGGCTCTTATTTTTTCCTCTTTTTTTATTCTAGTTTATATTATACTTTTTAAAATAGTCACACGTCCTAAATCTATAGCACCATACATAAAACTATTTCAGCTGCCTTAAAAAAAATCAGATAAATGATCCAAGAAATCATAAGATTGTGACAATAAAACTTATCACAGAGTGATTCACCAAAACGAAGGAAACAAGACAACGAGTGTGTTTCAGGGAGACACATCAATGACCTTCCAGATGGCATAGAGTCTTTCGTCTTCACGATTAGGGTCCCATTTTTTAGTCGAGATAATTTTCTTTTTCTGTCTTATATGGACTTTTAAACAATCTTATAATAACTTGTTCAAAAAAAAATAACAATCTTATTATAATTCAAAACCATATCCACTAAAAAGATATGGTCTCCCCAATATTTTCTCCTAATCATACTACACATTTCTTGTTAGGCGCTTACTACTTTAATCATAATTTTCGTTAGCCAATAAGAACAATTAAAGAAAAAAACTATTGAAATTAAAGAAATTTACTCAAAGTAGTAATTAACAGTTTTTGCCTTGTCACAGCAAAGTAGGCTTGTTTTGATACTCTCGGCGCGTGGATTTGGTCGTCGTCTCTTCTGGTCTCTCAAGCTTCTCCTTCATCGTAGAAAAAGATTTAAAAGGAGAGACTTTATAATCTTAAAAAAGTTTCTTCCTTTCTTCTTCATCTTCTTCTTCCTTGATACCAACGCGTAATCCTAACCCTTAATCTACTTCCTCTTTAATTAATCAGAGTTTTCTACTTATTATTCCACTTCCTCTCTTTCAATCGCAATCTGAGTTCTGGCTAAAGATTTTGTCTTGAACGTGAGATTCATTGCTCCAAATAGAGTGAGAAAACGACTTTTAAGATTGAAGAAGAAAGATGCGGATTTTGTGCGATGCTTGCGAGAACGCAGCCGCAATCGTCTTTTGCGCCGCCGATGAAGCTGCCCTTTGTCGCTCCTGCGATGAAAAAGTAATTTCTCTCGGAAAAAAGCTTCCTTTTTTTTTTTTGCTCTCCTCCTCTGTATTCATTGAGATATGGGTTCATGAAAGATCAAGTCTTTGTTCTCTGTGTCTAGTATTGTCCTTAATTCTCAGTTGATTTGGGCCTGAGTTGATCTGAAAGTGAACAACTTTGAGCTAAAGAAATAAGATTTCGAGATTTGGTTTCTAGATTCTTAGGCTCTTGACTTGAGACTATCTTTTGAAGTGGAATGAATCCGGCAAAAGAATTCAAATAGCCAAAAACCTCTTCTCTCATTTGGTGGATTAAGATGTTCAATTGATGAATATTCATGTTTGATTATATGAGTGTTTGTTGCTGCGGTTTCAATGATTTATACTCTGTCATGTACATTGCAGGGAACGTTTTGTCTCCAGAGTTTGCATTTAGTATAACTTCTCTGGAGAAGAAAATAATCGATTTTCTGCTCTTTGCGCTTAATCCTTACTTCAGTTAGATGACTCTTAAGGGTAACACTTTATAGTCCTTCTCGAGTCATTGGTTTATCCTTCTCTATCGCAATAGCTTTTAGTAGTTTTCGGATTTTGATCGAAAATGGGTTACTTCAAAACTTTGTATTATTTTTTCTTTCAGGTTCATATGTGCAACAAGCTAGCTAGTCGGCATGTTCGTGTTGGTTTAGCCGAACCAAGCAATGCCCCGTGCTGTGATATATGTGAAAATGCACCTGGTATGATCTGTTTACAACGAATTTTCCACACTCATGTTTCAATGTTTTCGCATATTGTGCATATATAGAAATATGAAGAGAAATCTTTGTCTGCAATGTTTTCGTTGTGAGAACAGCCTTCTTTTACTGTGAGATAGACGGTAGCTCTCTTTGTCTGCAATGTGACATGGTCGTACATGTTGGTGGCAAGAGAACACATGGTCGGTTTCTTTTGCTGAGACAGAGAATCGAGGTTTTAATTAACTAATTGTTTCTTTCTCACGCAGACACAATCATTTTGAGTCAATTTCTTGATTTAATCGTCATCTTGTGTGTACCGTTTCTTGTAGTTTCCAGGTGACAAGCCTAAAGCAAACAATATGAGGGACAATTTGCAGAACCAAAGAGTCTCTACAAATGGAAATGGTGAAGCTAATGGCAAGGTTGATGACGAAATGATTGATCTAAATGCTAATCCACAAAGAGTACATGAGCCAGCGTCAAATAACAACGTATGTGAATCTCTCTATTCAATATATCTCTATAAATTCTCATTCTTTATATTTGTATTCTGAATTCGTATGTTTCTCAATGAGCAGGGGATTGATGTAAATAACGAGAACAATCACGAGCCTGCAGGCATTGTACCAGTTGGACCCTTTAAACGAGAGTCTGAGAAGTGATAAGGTGAGAGAGAGAGACTTTACTCTGATTCAAAAAATCAGTTTAAGAGGAAGATTGTAAAAAGTTTCAAGAACTGGAGATTTCATGTCTTTTTTTCCTTCCTTTTGATTCTAAGATCGTTGCAGGGTTTGGTGTACGCAAGCTTTCTTGTTGAAGAGGGAAGGTTTATGTTTGCTTGTGTATTATCTTAGTTTTAAGGAATTGGCTTAAGTGCTCACAGGAATGTAAGCTAATCTCTGAAATTCTGAATAATTTAGTTCTTTCCGGTTTCCTTTCTATTTTTTCCTTAATAAAATCCTCTGGAAAATTGGACGAACAATTGGGGCGATTAAAAGATTAAGCCCACTAAATATGCAAAGGCTTAATGTCCTTTGAGAATTGTGTAAGCTTCGTGAAGAGCATTTTCCTCTATCCTCCTTGTTCAAAATTAAAAATTGCTTTGTTTACTCCAGTTTTAGTTGTTATTTAAATTCAAAACATATTTGGAATTTAACTGCAGTAGTAGATGATGCTGCTTCTAAATATAATAATACGACGAAATTCACATGTTCTTTTTATGTCATGTTCGAACTTGAATTTATGTTCACCCAACCTAAGACCATCTCCTTGTAACTCTATTTTAGATGAGGGTTTCTCTCCAATGTATATCTCTATTTTCTACTCTGAAAAAGAATATTTCTTAAAAATATTCTTTTTCTATTTTATATACTAATATCTTTTAATTATATAATTTACAATCTGACCCCATATATTATAGATTTGCAAAATTTCCATAAAATATGATATTAGTTAAATTAAACACTAATTATTTATTAAAAAAAACATTACATCATATAACAATAATAAAATATTACAAATTTTATTTTAAATAACAAGATATTTTAACTATCTTCGCGGATCTACAAGCAATTTACCGGACTATTAAATTACTAGTTTTATGTTTTAGTTTTCTTATGTTGTTTATTTTAAATTTAGTACTTGTTTGCTTTTTAAGTTTATAAAACTATGTGTTGTAATTGTTGTTTGTAAAATGATTATATGTATTAAATAAAAAAGTTTAAATTTGAGGGACTAAAGTATAAATAAAAAAGTTGAACTCAAAAATAGAGTAGAGAATAGAGTTGCTCTATATATAGAGTCAATCTGCAGAAATCTCTATTTTAGAGTCAATTATAGAGTAAGGTTGGAGAAGAATTTTGCATTTTTACTCTAAAATAGAGTAGGGTTGGAGATGCCCTAAGTTTTGTAATCTTGTTGATTATGGAGTATTTGTAGAAAACACTTTCCAAGTTCAAATAGATCAAGATAGATAGATAGATAACTTCAATATGATAGAACTTATTAAAAGGAGTAGCTAATGCAAAAGTAAGCAGAGAAAATAATGATTTGACATGATAATAACAAGCAAACTCAAAAACAAATGTAAATAAAACATCTGCTTTCTCTCTTTTTTCACAGCATCATCTCTTCAATAGGTGTAGCCTTTGACGAACATGCCCTCCTTAGCCTCTTCGGACTCACCCTCCCCGGTGTATTTTCCGAGCTGAGCCAACGAATTGGCCTTGGCACGGGCCAAGAGAGTGGTCTGAGCTGCGTTCACGTTCTCGGGTCTGCCACCCCATGTTTTCAGACAAGTGTTCTGCAATGCACGTGCGTAGGAGAAGGACACGTGCCATGGGTTTGGTGCCTGGTTCATTGCATTCAGGTTGAGTGTTGCCTCCACCTCTGACTGTCCTCCGGATAAGAACTGCAACAAAACAAAAACAAAAACAAGAAACAATATTACTTTTACCTCAAGCCACCAATATTAGGTTTTGCCTCTTGTGTATTGAATCGAACATGTTTTAACTGAAGAATCATCGTGAAGAGAAGGAGAGAACTTGCCATGATTCCGGGGACTGCGGGAGGGACTCTGTTGCGGAGGAGCTTGAGGGTGTAGGCGGCAACTTTTTCAGGAGTAACTCTGTCTTTAGACTCAGCTCCGGGAGTCACCATACTCGGTTTCAGGAGGATACCTGTGTAAAAAGATGGTAAAATTTTCCATAGTAATTTCCAGACGTTACAAGTATTAAGAGAAGCACTCTATAACGAATATATACCTTCAAACATGACATTGTTCTGAGCAAGGTAAAAGAAAACCTCAGCCCAAACTTTCTCTGCTACATCGTATGTTCTGTCAATGTCGTGTTCTCCATCCAACAAGATCTCTGGCTCCACAATCGGAACCAACCCGCTGTCCTGGAAAAACGCAATTCGTGTGTGAATAGCTTGATATTCCGATTTGACATGTTTCTTGGGATACACGCTATGTTTGTTACCTGTGAAATGGCAGCGTATCGAGCAAGACCCCAAGCAGCTTCTTTGACGGCGAGAGCAGAAGGACCGTTAGGAATGCTCACGACAGTACGCCTAATCAGCCATCAGAGACAATCAATCACTAAAAAATCGAACCGAGACATATTTTCGTGTAGTAGGAAATGAAATCAGAACCGAGGGTACTACTGTATACCATTTGGCAAAACGCGCACCCTGTTGGTAGTAAGCAGCAGTTCGAGAGGCTAGACCGTCTAGTCCTTGGCACCATGACTCATTGTTGGATCCAACAAGTGGCACCAAACCCTGATATTCCATACACAGAAGTCATTAAGATACCTCAAATTAAGCAGCACCATGCATGTTGGTCTATATACTCTACAGTGTGCGTTCAGTTACCTTGTCAACTTTGATACCAGGGACAATGTTCTGCTCAACGAGGACGTCGACCATTTTCTTGCCTTCGGTGGTAGACTGGTACAAAGTCTCCTCAAATAGGATTGCGCCCGAGATGTACTGCCCGAGTCCAGGTGCAGACACCAACAAAGTCCGGAAAGCTTGACGGTTTGCCTCAGTGTTCTCTAGCCCTATCGAATCCAAACGTTTCCCGCAAGTCGCGTTCGACTCGTCCATCGCCAAGATTCCGCGTCCGGGAGACGCAATAGTTTTCTACTCCAGCCAAAATTAAAAGAATAAACTGAAATCTCATTTTTCCTTTGTTAACACGACTGTCACGATTTTATCTTCTATACACGAATAACTGTAACTAAAATCAAAACCTTGATACATTTTGAATCATAGTATAACCTAAATCTAAATCAAAATTGAAACTAAACATCTAAAGGGTAAAGTCGGTTTAAATTGGTTATGAAAAAAAAGTAGAAACAGGGGAAAACAGAACAACAGAATCTAGACATTCCAATTCAAAAAGGTGAAAAGTGCACTTTACGAATCATGCAGATAAAACACGTGGTAAAGAAGAGGATATGTGTGAACGAACCGCTGTCTTAACAAGCTCATCGGCGTAGGAGGAAGCGGCACGGACGGTGAGGGAGGTGGCACGGTTGCGGAGGACGACGGAGGCGGAAGAAGGCTGACGGAAGAGAACGCTTTGTCCCTTGACCCATTCGGATTTGTCTAACACCGGAGAAGCCTTGAGGAGTGAGGTTGATGCCATTTTTTTTTTTTTGTGTTATCTCTTTTCTCTGCCTTTGGTTTCTTTGAGAGACTCACAGTAAAAGCTAATGACACCACCCTTATCTCTCACTCCTCCCTCTTTTGGATTTATATTTCTCTTCAGATCAGTTATTTGAGGTTCTTGTGACCTTGCCAATAGTATTCCGCCACCTGGACCGTAATCTTGTATTACTCTCAATTCAAGAAAAATACATACACTCATTTTTTTTTGTTAAAAGAAAAATACATACACTCCAAAAAAAATTTCATTTTCTTTTTAATCGATACTCTTTTGTATGCCCGTCGTTACATATTCGCTTGATTTTTGTTTGCCTCTACACGGGAAAAAACCGAATAAGCACATCAATAGTAAAGATTCGTTCAAGACACTGTTTCTTTAAGAAAGAAAAAACTATTTAACTTTATGCTACGATATTAGTATCATGTACAAGAGATGTATCAAACCCTCAAGAATTTATATGTAGCACCGTGGACCATAATATTAATTCGTTTATAACCTTTTCTCTTGAATTGTATGTCTCTTGTATATCTAAGTTACTATACATCTTGTAATAATGTTGAACTCGAGGACAGAAAACCTAAGACAAACGCACCATTTTCAATTAAAAATAGTGGCAACAGCCTTATAAAGATACAAAGATGGTGTTTTGATAAGAGAAATAAAAATTATGAGGTTCGTATCATTTCTAATATTTTAAGAGCTGACGAGATTATTGATCAGTTTAGCGTAAGTCAAAATTTGACGGTAGAGAGTTTACCACGTCATCTAGGCTGGGTCTCAAACCGTAAACATTTTTTTTTTTCAACCATAGACATATATGTTAATCAAAAAATAGACATGTATGTTTTCTTCTCGAATTTGAAAAACGCATTTCTTGAATGACAAGTGAAGACAAGAGAACCCACTAAAATCCCTTTTAGAATTTAGAGCCAAAGATGCGTCGGAAAGTTACATCCAGAGAGAATGACTTAGTGAGGACGTGATTCCCTGCGGTTTCTTAAGGCTGAGGTTAAGCATGGAGATTTTAAGAGATTGTGAAGTCTACATCAACGGTCGAGAGACACTGCAATCTCATCGTCACCATTGCACAACAGGTGGCCAAGTGGGTCGTGTAGCCACCAAATTGACCCTTTAAACCTTTTGGTCTGGTCTAGTAGCAGATTTTGAAATCTCAAAACCGGTTTGTGTCGGTTAAGGAGTAGTAAAGTAAAAAGAGAGTTTCTGATGTCAAAATAAACACATACTTAAACTTCATAGTTCACTTAAAAGTTTCTGCAAGAGACAGATCCGATATCCCAGCTATCAGATCATCGATATTGCTCTCCTCTGCTACAACTTGATCATCATTCAGTGGCTGGACCGTGGAAGACTCATTGAGGGCCTTCTTCAGCTGCAGCACCAACCCATCTTCCTCGTCATCATCCCCCACAATCTCCAGATCCCACACCATGAAAATCTCTTGTGGAGTTACTTTGACGGGATCCTCTGTAACGTTACAATCGTCAACATTGTCTTCAACGTATGTGCTCATGAAATCATCCTTGAATACTTGAGACGATACTGCCGCTGGTTCTTCTTCTTCTTCAGCCTCTCCATTGCTCACTGACCCATCTTCTTCTATACTTTCAACACCTCCAAGATCTGTAGTAGGATGATCCGCTGCTAGTTCACGGGTTCCATTCTCTGCTATGGACTCTGAAAAATAACAATCTTCTAAAGAACTCTTTGACGGGTCTGATTCAAACGTTAGCATAGAGACAATCTCGCTGACTTCTTCATTCGATGAATTAGTTTTACAGTTCGCTGAATCAGCTTCTGGTTCAAATCTCCGTAGATGAATAGGCTCGGATTCAATCATATCCTCGTCTGGAGACAGGACACCTCTTGTTCCTGTAGATGAAGGAACAAACATCTCGGGATGGATATCGATGATTTCTGTTAAAGCATCTCTGAAAGTTCCCCAGTTATTGTTGTCTGAATCATCTGGAAAACTGATGATACAGGAATCAGCCCAAGCTAAACATTCAGGAGAAAGATCTTCCTCGCTTCTCACTAAAAGAGAAACCTCTGCTACGTCTTCTCGTTCAGTCATTGCTACAAAGCACATCCAGATCTTTCATGTTAGAGAAGATAGATTCTTCAAGACATCTAACGATATGATGATGGTTAAAAACCCCAAATTGAAACTAAACGAGAGCAGAAGACGCTATTTTCAATCACTAATTATAACAAAACATCGAATTTCCCAGTGAAATACCTAATTTCTAAAATTCGAACGCACAAGAATCGAAAATCACAAGTTCTAATACATAGAATCGAACAAAGTGAATAAACGTCAAATACGCAAGAAGGAAAACGAAAATTCTTCTGAGTACACTTAATTCCATGAATAAGTCGAATGGATTACTGGATGATTCAATTCAAAGAAGCAATTAAAGAAATGACTAACCTTTATCGACACGAGAATCCCCAAAAATAACCCTAATTTTCGGAAGAACAAAAGAAGAAGAAAACTAATTTTGAAATCTCCGAGACCCCCCAACTGAAGAGGAAACGACGTTGAATTGTTGGATAAAACTCGTACGATGTCGTTTTGAGGGGTGCTTGTTTTTTCTCTCTTTCTATTTTTGTTATCAATAGCCCAGACATCTTTGAAATTTACATAAAAGGCTCATACTTTTTTATTGGTACATATGATCCAAAAAATGTAGACATAAAGCACCCCCTATATATTTGTCTTTTTGCATTTTTATTTGGCCTTAGAGAATGTTTAATACAGAAAAAGTCTTAATACAGAAAAAGTCTACAACATTACCATTGCCATATTAAAATGTTAGACGGATTAACAACACGAAATATCCCTTAATATTTTTTTCTTTTGTCTTTCATTATATGAATCAGTGATAAGAAAAAATTCTCACTTTTGATTCTGTTCCTAGTTAAATACAAGTTTAATTTTGTCAACTCTTATAAAGGCAGAGTTGTCTCAAATTGGGTTGGCCTTAAAATAAGCCAAGAGACCAACAAAAGGTGCATTGATGTAAGTCGTTGGTTCCGTCTCACTTGCATTTGTCCGACCTCCAATGAATTTGTCATCTATGTTTGGTCCCCCGATCACAGCACCAACTAAAACGTTGGGGTCTGGATTTGGGGATGCGAAAATATTCCATCCTTCCGAGCATTTGATGGCAGTGGGATGAGTCGTGATAGACGGTGTCGATGCACCGCGGTGGTGGATTTGTCGTGGATATCGGTTACCATACCCAATCATGTATGACATTTTCATCGGATTATCTCCCAAAATGTAATCCACCTATATTAAATCATTGTTACCATAAAACCGATCCAGTTAAATAAATAGACCAGTACATTGTGAAATGAAAACTCATGAACTTCCTCAAAACAAACTAAATTTGCTATGTAATATATATGTATTAAGTATTGGCTAACTTTTTTTTTTTATCAAAAAACAAAATATATTTGCTATGCGTTTCGTGTATTGAATTAATATTGACTAACTTACCTGTCGTTTGGCCAAGCGACGGAGAGAATCCGGCTGGATCTTGAGACTACCACAGTGGAGTTGTTGAGAGGATTTAGAAAGGTAATTGGCGTAAGTGAGAAGGAGAAAAGACAATGCGACGGTGTTTTGGAGCTGACTGCTTCCGGGTTTGTAAAGAAGGCCACCGGGAGAGTAACTCATATGTGCACCCGGAGTTTCCAGAAAAAACGAACACATCAATTTTTCCGCTGTGTCCTTATACGGTGCAATCCCAGCTACATTCTTTTCAAATACTTCCTATATCAACAACAAGTAGCTCAAACGGTTTAGACATTTTTATATATAAGCATAATAGTATAGGCATGGATATACGCCACTTAGCTTGTATGTTCAGTATAAAATGAATTACGGTCATGAGTTTTATTGTGTCTTATGAATATGATGTCGTCATTTTAAAATCATAGAGAATTGGATCCAACCTTTGCAACGAGAACATTGACGCCCCCAACTTTGTTATCCCATCCAAACTCGAAGTAATTGGAATCTGACCCAAAAGATTGACGATTGTCCACTAAGTATTTAATGTAAGAATCTTTACCGGTCGCTCTTCTCAACCATGCAGCTCCCCATAATAACTCATCCTATATGAAATGAAAATCAATCTAGACCGATCTAGTTTCACATAATATATTCAAAAAATTATAGAGGTTACCTCATATCCGTTTACACTACAATAAAATGGGCAAACAGCAAGTTTAGTCTCAGGATTATTGGTATAGGAACCTCTATGTGAATCTGCGTACTCAAAAGTTGTTAAAGCATTATCGAGCAACAATTTAGAATATCTAGGATCAAATCGTTTGAATGCAATTGAAGCGGCTGCCAACGCAGCTGCGATTTCTCCAGCTAAATCAGAGGCTGGATTCGGTGCTTCCACGGCGTAAGCTGTCCGTGGTGTGTCCATATCCTCTGGTCTCTCCCAACACTGATAATCCGGTGTTGGTTCACCTACCTAAAATACCAGTATTGACATTATAAATCAAATTCTCAATATATGCATCAGTTTAAGTTTTATGAATATTATTGTTAGTTAATTTATCACTAAAACACACAAAAATAAACAAGATACTGTATAAAGAAATACATTAGGAACCTAAGAACATCTCCAATGGTTGTAAATTTGAGTATCTTAAAAAAATCTTAGCAATAAAAATAATCAAAACTAATCAAAACCACGAAGAATTGCTAAGATAGATATCTTAAATAAGATGTTTTTGAGATGTTAAGATGTGCATACGTGTCGACTAATGAGTGGGCGAAAAAATGAACAAAAGGGAAAAAAAATGCTTCCGACACGTCTTCGATTTCATCTCTTTTTCTCTATTTCTCGAATCCTCCGACGACGAAATCTCTCCAACGCATCTTGATCCGTCGAATTGAGAGGAAAAATTAGGCGGAATTTCCGCCGCCGTAACGCCGTTGTTTTCTCCACGAAGCTTGATTTTTTGATTTTAGATAGATTTTGAATTAACCTTTTTAGACGTAATTGGAAATTTCATCGCCGCGGAGGAGATGAGGAGCGTGTTGTTGTGGATTGCGGTGGTCGTGTGCTTGTTATGTTCAGTCGCGGCGGTGGTTCAAAGCGGATTTAGCCATTGTTTTTTTGAAACGAGAGATACTGAGACTGCGATATCTTTGCTGGAGAATAAATTGATCGGTTCCAATGGTACCTCTCACCTTGATTCAGGCAGCTGACTCTAAAGGAGCTGGTACACACACACACTTTCTCTCTCTCTCTCTCTCCTTCTCTTTTGTTGTTCTTCTATGGGATTTGAGATTTGACTCTGTTAGTTGGAATTTGAAATTAATGGCGTATGATTTTGGGTTAGTAAGAATGTCAAAGTGTGATAATTTTATTGTTACTGATTGGTTGTAGTGTTGTCTAAAGGTCAAAGTGTGATAATTTTCTGTTTTTGCATTGTTCACAAAGTGTTTGAGTATCCTGTCTCTTGTATGGATTTGTAGAACTGAGTACCTTTAAGATGGTTTTTGAAAGTGTTATAATGGTTCTTGCAGGTTCAGTCTTCGATGTTGCCATTGTATCAAGTAGATCAAACTCTTGGAAGAAACATTGTTTTATAGGAGTTGAAAAAATGTTGTTATACTATACCAGAAAGATGAAAAAGATAGATAGATGTTCTCAGCTGTTCTTGAAGATACTTTATACTGTTTTGATCTCAAATCTTAGGCATAATTCATGGTCAGATGCTTCATTCTTTTCTTTCCCATACCAGTGTTGTTTGTGCATTGCTTTCTTCGAGGGGACAAAACCGAGAGAATCTGTGAGCGGAAGTTAGACGGTAACAACGTCGGGTTGGTTTGGAAAAGATGTTGAATGAATGGCTCAGATTTGGTTGAAGTGATGAATGTTTAAGTTCTTCCTCTTTCATTTGCAAAAAAAGCTTGTATGAGTTTGGTTGTATGAATGCTTGTATTAGAAGATATTGTTTTGCAAAATTTGAATTTGTTTTATCTTAAGAACCCATTGATTCTTAACCATTGGAAGGCAAATTTGTTAAGATCTTCTCTTTGTATTCTTAACTTAGAAAATGCAAAATTTTAATATTAAAAATTGTTAAGAATCAAGGTTAAGTATCCACGAAGAACCCAAATGTTCCGTAACGTCGAACAATGCAGATCGTCCGGCGAAGATTCCACGTAGCCATCTCTCTCGACATCATTTACCTCCGTGGCTCAATGGCAACACGAATTGTCCTCAAAGCGTCTTCTTCCACTTCCTCGTCTCCTCCGAGATTCGAAACCTAGAATCTCTAATTCGTTCAACTTTCCCTAAACTGACGAATCTCAAAATTTAGAGGTAGTTGTCGTGATTTTGCTTCATTGGTCCTGTGAGTTTGCTTCATTGGTCAGGTAGTGGTAAGCCATGGTTAAGACTTGAAAATGTCAACTTTCGTCGTCATTGTGGGCACCTTATGATCTGTATAAACACTCTCATTGACACCGTTTTCGAGTTCGACATATTCATCGGTAAACTCTCTATACAAAAGTCTGTTCAATTGCAGTGTCATTTTGCTTATTGTCTGTGTTTGTTCATCAATAGTTGAACTATAAGTTAGGAATCTTCATTCTTTGTGTTTGTGGGGTTGGCTTTTTTACTTTTTTAAGCATATGTGAAGTTTTTACCATTTCTGGGTATGGGTATGGCTTTTGTTTTGGCACTCATAACATTGAGTAAACAAAAAGATAGAAGCTTTATGATTTGCTTCATGGTTAAATACTCCATTGTTGGCCAATTGGTGGAGATTGTAATAGTGGGGAATTGGGCTAGTGGTAGGGCATATTTACTGGTCCTGATAAATTTTGGAACACCATGAGCACACTGAGCCAGTGATTGTTTCACCTTTTCTTATGTAGTTTCTTAGGGGATTTATCTTACGAAGGCAAAAGGGTTTCAGAGAATTTGCACGTATGAGTGTTATTGAGTTACTCTAAAAGGATCTCGAATCTTTACCTAGTTTATGCATTGAACAAGCTATGCATAAGACACCCTTGTTGGTTATCATCAGCTATTGTAAAAAATGTAAAATCTGTAACTTACCAGTCACTTTCTGAAAGTTTATTTTTGTGGGATCAAATCGCTTTTTTCTTGCATATTCAGAATCACAATCTTATCTTAAGTTGGGTTTTGTTTGTTTTAACCAGCCATGAGGACTAAACCGAAGATAAGCAGAGTTTCCTTGGTGGTTTTCAACTGGAAACAATTCTGTTAAAGATTGTGTAAACCTTGCCGAAACAGAGTAGTGTTGCTTCAGACAGTTCAAACCAGACTGTAGACGCAATTTAGAAGAGCAAACTTCTTTTCAAGTATTCTACCGGCGGTTGAATATGTTCTTGTGGGAAGAAAAAATAAAAATATAGTTAGCTTATTGATAAGAGGCATGTGTGGTAGCTCAAAAGGAGTCGTTGAGGCACGTGAATAAGCAAAGAGAAGCAGAGAAGGCACGTGAAACAGAGTTAAAAACAGAGCAAGAAGAAATAGATTGTGTAACCGCTTGAGAGTCCCAATGAGTTGTATATAAATAGATAGGAGAGTATTGAAGAAGTTATGCATGTATTGATGTGCGTGTAACAAACGTATGGTTTGTTAGAGGAGAGTTAGGAGATCACTTGAACAAATCTCCATTGTTAGGGTTCTTGAGTTTGTATCTTGGATTGAGAAGTGATAGAGAGAATAGTTCATAGCTACAATTCTTATCAATTATTCACACATAGTTCAGGTTAAAGTTTTTTTTTTTTTGTTTATTATTGATTCTATGAGTAATTTTGTGCAGATACTACTCCTTATTTTGGTTCTCAAAAGTCTTTAGAGATGATTTATCTCTATATGGAAGATTTTGCCTTATAATTCTCCAATGTCATGTGTATGATGTCTTCTTACTCTGTCTCGGACTAACCAGAAAGCATACTTGTGTGATTACATAAACAGAGTTACATAGATCAAACCAAACACAAACACTCAAAATAAGATGCAAGACTACTAACATCAAAGAAGACAGTGTTGTGGTTGAGAATAAATGACGTGATTGCTCTGGTCCTAACCAAAGCAATTGGTGGCTCCAGCAATCTCATAACCAAGCGGCTTCTATCTCCATACAAAGACTAGCATTGGTAGCTTGATGTCAATGTCTGTTAGATCATCAATCACTGCTGCTCCTGTTCCATTTAAAGGAGGCAACATCATCATGTCCATTATAAACAGTTTCTTGAGAATCATCATCTCCATCTCTTCTTTCCTTCTCCGTGATAAACATGTGTTTGTTTGTAACAGAGAGGTATAATAATAATAAATAGATCGTCCCGGTCCCACATGATCTTACAATCTTACCGTTTAGATTAGATAATCACCGTCCGATCTCAATAAACGGTCTAGATCTCTCAAACGTTCTCAGAGGTCCATTTAAAAAAAAAAAATTCTCAACACATATAAGAAAAGGAAACAACAGTCGAAGAAAAAAAAAGGAAACAATCGAAAGTTTCCTTTTTTTTTTTTATTCGAAGAACGTTTTGCCTATAAATACTCAAGTGAAGGTTAATCAATCTCCAACATCATCAGAGAAAAAAAAAATCATCTTTTTCTTTATGCAATTCTCATACAGAGAGGTCCGCCGATGATCCATGCAGACTTTGAAGTACGCCTATCATCTCTGCAAAATAAGAGAGAAAGAGCCGATACATAAACCGAAGAAGCCAAAAACCTCTTTGGAAACCATGGACTGATGAGAAACCTCCATCGTTTCGAAGAAGGAGGCATATATAGTCCAACAATCTCGTATCCTCTTCATCTTCGAATTCTTCTTCTAGGTATAACAGCTTCTTCTCTCTTTATGATGGTACTTGTTCTGTGGTTGATTTATAATTAGGGTTCGGAATTTGTAGTTATGGGTATGCAAATATAGAGAAGCAAAGACAGAGATTGCAAGTAGTAGTGTACAAGTTACAGAACTGAGATTCTCTTTTTGGTGCTACCACCATCATCGTTGGTGATATAGATTCCTAAGGTTTCTTCTCTGTTCTTTATCCTTGGTTTATTTGTTTATTGTTTTTTTGCTTTTCTTATATCATGCTTCTTAGACCAATAGGCAATATTTTGATGGGATGAGTTAAAGATTGTGAATTTGGATATGGTAGTAGTCACTTGCTGATTGATATATGTGCAATCTTTTTTAATATGTTGTAGTACCTGAAAGAAGCTGGATGGGCTCAAGGAGGCAGAGTTTTTTCTAGTACCAGCCAAGACGTTTAGCTCTCCCGGTTTGTTTTTCGTCCATATCACAAGCTGCACGTACGAGGTATTGCTTTCTTAATTTCTTATCTTCTCTTTTTCTCTTAAGAAATATTTTGATTTTAGTATTTTATTTATTGATTTTGTTCATACAAAAAAAGTTTTCAGTTTTTATTTTCAGATTTAAAAAGTTTTTTTAAATCATGTTTTATATATAATTTTAAACGTTTTTTCAAATCTCTTTTTGTTTTAAACTATGTTTTTAAGTGTTAAATTTTTAACTTTTGTGTAAACTAGTTGGACACAACATCCAAACCCCTAAGAGGTATTCTAGGTTCAATATGGTTTATACATAATTAAATTTTTAACACTTGTTTTTTTTAATGTTTTGTTTTTTTTGTTTGTTTTTTTTATAAGTGTTAAATTTTTTAATTTTGTGTAAACTAATTGGATACAACATCCAAACCCCTAAGAGGTGTTCTAGGTTCAATTTGGTTTACACATAATTAAATTTTTAACACTTGCTTTTTTTTTAATGTTTTGTTTTTTTTGTTTGTTTTTTTTATAAGTGTTAAATTTTTTAATTTTGTGTAAACTAATTGGATACAACATCCAAACCCCTAAGAGGTGTTCTAGGTTCAATTTGGTTTACACATAATTAAATTTTTAACACTTGCTTTTTTTAATGTTTTGTTTTTTTTGTTTGTTTTTTTTATAAGTGTTAAATTTTTTAATTTTGTGTAAACTAATTGGATACAACATCCAAACCCCTAAGAGGTGTTCTAGGTTCAATTTGGTTTACACATAATTAAAATTTTAACAATTGTTTTTCTTAATGTTTTGTTTTTTTTTTTTTTTGATGAGTGTTAAATTTTTAAAATTTGTGTAAACTAATTGGATACAACATCCAAACCCCTAAGAGGTGTTCTAGGTTCAATATGGTTTACATATAATTAAATTTTTATCACTTGTTTTTTTTTTTTTAAATGTTCTTTTTTCTTTTTTTGTAAGTGTTAAATTTTTAATTATGTGTAAACTAATTTGATACAACGTCCAAAACCCAAAGAGGTGTTCTAGGTTCAATATGGTTTACTCGTAGTAATTAAATTTTTAACACTTGTTTTTTAAAAAATATTTTGTTTTTTATAAGTGTTAAAATTATTAATTTTGTGTAAACTAATTGGCTACAACATCCAAATCCCTAAGAGGTATTCTATGTTATATATGGTTTACATAAAATTAAATTTTTAACACTTCTTTTTAAAAATGTTTTTTTTATAAATATGAATTTTTTTAATTTTGTGTAAACTAATTGGATACATCATCCAAACCCCTAAGAGGTGTTCTAGGTTCAATATGGTTTACACAAAATTAAATTTTTAACACTTGTTTTTTAAAATTTTTTTTTTATAAGTGATAAATTTTTTAATTTTGTGTAAACTAATTGGATACAACATCCAAACCCCTAAGAGGTGTTTTAGGTTCAATATGGTTTACATAAAATTAAATTTTTAACACTTATTTTTTTATAAATGTTTTGTTTTTTTATAAGTGTTAAATTTTTTAATTTTGTATAAATTAATTGGATACAACATCCAAACCCCTAAGAGATATTCTAAGTTCAATATGGTGTACACATAATTAAATTTGTAATGCTTGTTTTTATAATGTTTTTTTGTTTGTTTTTAGTAAGTGTTAAATTTATTAATTTTGTGTAAACTAATTGGATACAACATCCAAACCCCTAAGAGGTATTTTAGGTTCAATATGATTTACACAAAATTAAATTTTTAACATTTGTTTTTTTTTGTTTTTTTATTTATAAGTATTAAATTTTTTTAATTTTGTGTAAACTAATTGGATACATCATCCAAATTCTTAAGAGATGTTCTAGGTTCAATATGGTTTACACAAAATTAAATTTTTAACACTTGTTTTTTAAAAATTTTTTTTTTATAAGTGTTAAATTTTTTAATTCTGTGTAAACTAATTTAGATACAACATCCAAACTCCTAAGAAGTTTTCTAGGTTTATTATGATTTACACATAATTAAATTTTTAACACTTATATTTTTATTAAAAAAATTTAAAAAAAAGTTTTCAAATTTACATTTTTATATTACTATTAAAACGTTACGGATTTTATTTTTCAAATAATATTTTTGATAAATATTTTAAAGGGAGGCTTTTGCAAAAATGCCATTTTTTCAATGCCACTTTTCAAAAATACTCCTTTTTTAAAACCTTATAAAAAATGCTCTTAAAAGTATAAGATTTACCCAAATATATATGTAATATTATTAAAACATACACAAACTATATTTCTATGTATCTAAAATCTTATAAATACTTTATAAATACCTTATAAATGCATTTTATATACCTTTAAAAACCTTTAAAATATCTTGTAAAACCTGTGAAAAACCTTAAAAATCCTTTAAAATAACTTGTAAAACATTTAAAAACACCTTATAAAACCTTATAAATACTTGGATCAAGTCTTCAAGTAGTAATTACAATCAATAAGTACCTTATAAACCTAATAAAACTTTATAAAAATTTCAGATTTAAATAGAGACATTTTTTTAAATATCTAAAAGAAGCATTTTTGAAAAGGAGCACACCAAAAGTGGTATTTTTAACAATTCCCCTATTTTAAATTATAACTTCTTGTCAACGAATTTTATAAAGAAAATTCGAAGGTTTGCAAAACCCACGCTTTTCCTCTTTGAGTATTGTTTTCAAATATTTTAAAAGTAAATAAACATGTGTTTATTATAAAAATGTCGCATGTTTTTAACGAAGCAATTTGTTTTTTTTTTTTTTGAGAAAGGATTTTCTATTAAAAAATAAAAACCATGAGAAATAAAATGATACAAAACCAATAAGGCCCAGTTTAGCCATGTGGCCCAACACACACTAAAAAGATCTATTTTCGAATCAGTTAAAAGCAGCCCATTAAGGGATAGTAACTAACATCTAAAGTAAATAAATTCTTACCAAAAAAAATCTAAAGTAAATAAATTCATGTAAAATAAAAGACTAGAGGTTATATAGTCACCGTACTTGGACGAAGATGCGATTAGGAAGTTGCGAAACGGTCTTAAGGAGATAATTGGTGCCCCACCGGAGAGCGACGAGATTGTCCCTGAGATCAGCCGGAGACATGTAACTTCCAAAGTCGATAGCGCTCCACGCAAGCATGGTAGCCGTAAAAGCCATCGGAAAATGGAACTTAATGTTATCTCCGGCGTCGTAGTAGCCACCAACGAGGTTGGCATTGAGGTTCTTGCCGTCGTTGAGTGCGGAGTTGCGGCGCCACGTCATCCTCTGTTCTCTGGGAAGATATCCAGAGCGTTGACCTTCAAAGAAGAGGATTGACTTTGTGAGAGCATCGGAGTAGTCGTGAGAAATCGTCGTTGGTAGGATGATGAGGAGAATAAGAACTATGGAAGAGCAAATCGATGGCTTCATTGTTTTTTTCTTTTAGGGTTTATGAGAGATGACTGAATAAGACGATGCATATATACTGTACTTTTATTCGAAATTTTTCTATGGAAACTTTCCCGCATGTCCTCTATTAATTTTGTTTTATAGTTTAATGAATATTTTGGCGAGTTTTTATTTTCCAAATTTGATAAAGAAAAAAAAAATAATGTACATTGGTTAAAAAAACTTTTATATATTAGAGTAAATGCGATAAATATTATCGAGTCTATAAAACATCATCTAAATTACCACAAATAAAGCCATATCATCTGCAATAAATAAATTTATGTATGAATATATTACTAATTTAAAAGAATGTCTTTTAATTTTAATAATTATATAAATACTTTAACAGAAAAAGATAAACCACAACGGTAAAACAAAGGAAAATTGTATATATATGTCTCTCTCTTGATGCGTACTTGTACCCCAATCAATATATGTACATTATCATTTTTCCATTTTCTTTAGTTTTACAAATTTGGGAAGAGATTATACTCAAGAGAACTTGGGGTTGCTTTTAAAGTACGCAAATACACCAACAAAAGGTGCATTGATGTACGTTGTGGGCTCAGTCTCACTAGCATTTGTCCGACCTCCAATAAATTTATCATCTGCGTCAGGCCCGCCAATCACCGCACCAATAAGAATGTTGGGGTTTGGATTGGGTGATGCGAAAATATTCCATCCTGCTGAGCACCCAAATGCAGTCGGATGAACGGTAAAAGACGGAATAGACGAGCCACGGTGGTGGATCAGTCGCGGGTACTGCTCACCATACCCAATCATGTATGACAACTTCATTGGATTATCTCCCAAAACGTAGTCTACCTACAAAAAAAGAAAAACACACACAAATAAATTTTGATTAGATTGATATTATGATATATTGACTTTGATCGGTAAGAAACACAATTAATGAAAAAAATGATCCTATAATTCTAATATACCTGTCGTTTGACTATGCGGCGAAGAGAATCCGGTTGAAACTTGAGGTTACCGCAATTGAGTGGTTGAGAGGATGTAGTGAGGTAATCTGCATAGGTAAGGAGAAGGAAAGATAGTGCGGCCGTGTTCTGTAGCTGACTGCTTCCGTGTTTGTAAAGGAGACCGCCGGGAGTGTAAGTCATATGTGGACCATTGGTTTCCGGCAAAAATGCACACATCATTTTCTCTGCGGTATCTTTATATGCTGCTAACGCAGTCACATTCTTCTCAAATACTTCCTGTTTAACCAAATTGATTTAACTTTCACACTTAGAAATATACATCAGTTTGATTTTAACCAGATCTATTTTTTTTCAAAAATTAGAAGAAAACTACGAGAATTAACAGATTTATTTTTTTCAATAATCGTGAAAATTTCTTTTTATTGAAAGATATACACTTTGTAAGCATAATACATATGTTAAAGTGTACATATATGGTCAATGTATTATGCATTACGATTTACGACCATGAGTATTTATATCGTAATTTATAATTTCACTGGAAGATATCGTATAGAGAATTGGAAATTGGACCAAACCTTGGCAATGAGAACATTAACACCCCCAACCTTGTTGTCCCAGCCAAACTCGAAGTAATTGAAATTTGCACCGAAAACTTGACCATTGGTCACTAAGTATGTCAGATAATAATCTTCGCCGGTTGCTCGTCTCAGCCACGCAGCTCCCCATAGCAACTCGTCCTATGTGAAATAACATGATGATTTATATGAATATAAACCCAATTATATTTGATTGTACAATAATCGAAAAAAAGAAAGAAAGATATACCTTATATCCATTAACACTACAGTAAAACGGGCAAACGGCTTGTTTGACTCCCGGATTTTCGGTATAAGAACCTCGATGTGAATCTGCATACTGAAACGTTTGTACGGCTTTATTGAGTAATATTGTGGAATACTTAGGATTTGCTTGTTTGAATGCAATTGAAGCGGCTGCCAAAGCTGCTGCAATTTCTCCCGCTAAATCGGAGGCTGGATATGGTGCATCTAAGGCGAAAGCAGTTCGTGGCGTGTCCATATCTTCCGGTCTTTCCCAACAATCATGGTCTGCTTGTGCTTCACCTACCTATACCATATTAATCTTGTGTTGATAGTGTGTACACATTAAAAAATATTCATATAATCTTTTCCTTTCAAAATCGTGGTCTGGTAAAAAGGATAATTACATATGAAGAAACTAATCAACACATATTGATTATCTTTTCAGGGAAAGATATCCAATTTGATCCTGTCTTTATCAAGATACCAAGGTATCTTATTATGACAAAATTGGTGAAAATCAAATTCTTGATAACGGTATGTATTGGTGAATTAAAATACAAAATATATAATACTATATAAGTATTATGTCCATAGATGGGGTGAAAACCAAATGCATGATTACAGTAAATAAAATGACGACGGGTTAAGGGTTTATACGTACTTGGACGAAAATGCGATCAGGGAGTTGTGAAACGGTCTTAAGGAGATAATCAGTGGCCCACTTGAGGGCTACGAGATTATGTCTGAAATCATTCTGAGACATATAGCGTCCGAAGTCAATAGAACTCCAAGCAAGCATCGTTGCCGTAAAAGCCATAGGAAAATGAAACTTAACGTTGTCTCCGGCGTCGTAGTAACCACCAACGAGGTCAGTTTTGAGATTTCGGCCGTCGTTGAGTGCAGAATTACTACGCCACGTCATCCTTTGTTGTTTTGGAAGACGACCAGAGCGTTGACCTTCGAAAAAGAGTATTGACTTTCTAAGAGCGTCGGAGTAGTCGTGAGGGATCGCCGTTGGTAGAAGTAGAAGTATGAAAACGGTTACAAAGTAAATCGAAGGTTTCATTTTCCTATAATTTATTAGGATTTGGTGAGATTTCGTTGTTTTTGACATGTAGTTTTTTGGGACTTTAGGGTTCATATTTATAGACACATAATAGTGACTACAACTTCTGGTTTACGTGTACGTATTTTGGGTAATTTGGTAAGTAATCAATACGTCTTGGTTTGTTAAGGATCCATGCATGTTTAAAAAAAAAAAAAAAAAAAAAAAAAAATTAGAGAGAAACAAGTAAACGATATAATGATTCCCCTTCACTGACTCAAAGGTTTATTCACAATACTCTTTTCGTTTTTCTTTTACATCTCGAATTCTCTTATACTGTTTTCAAGAAAATATTCTTAACTATTAAATTGAAAATCAATATCTTTGAAATTTTTCTCCTTAATTGAATTTAAATATATTTTATTTTTTTCTAATTCAAATATATTTTAAGACAATAATATTCAATTCTAGTAATATAATCTTTTTTAGATTTGATAGATCTGATCATCTGTTTTTTATAATGCCAGTTGTGGTAAAACAAACACTATCCACATTTGTTTTTTTCTTTTTCTTTTCTAGGTTTACATATATATATATAGAAGTTCTCTGTATGTTGAAATTCTGAGATAAAAGAGATACAATGAGAAATAAAAATATTAAAATTAAATGACTCATCATTAGCTAATTAATTTTTAATAAATTATTATAAATTAACAATTTAACAGGCATTAAGAGGAAATGTGTGAGGAAGATAGGAGAATGAAATCATGTTTTGTGTTGCATTGGGTGAGGTACAGGTTTTTTGTCCCGGGATACCTCTTCTTTATTATATATGGATTTTTGCTAAATTTATTTTCAGAATATAATTAACATGTAAATATCAACAAAAAAAATCTCAAAACTTAAGTAATTTGATTTCATATTTTCATCACTTGTTTAATTTCGCCAAAATAAATTTCAGGCAAACCAATATTTCATACAGAAACTGTAAATCAGATTTAAGAAGAAAATAGTACTAGAAACGTGATAAAAAATTGTTTTTGGTAAGCAAAAATTAATGTTCTTTTTAGAAAAAAAAACAATGTGTTTGGTCTAAAACGAAACTTTTCTTGATGAGTTTTGCTTCTCTTTCCAATGAGCTCTACTTTTCTTCCTGAATCTTGAACCAAGCATCTGTGCATGCAACGATTCGAGATATTGCTTGTGTTTAATCAAATCGTACAATTTATTTTGCCCTTGACTACATTATATATGGAACGAGTTAATAATAATGAAAAAAAAAAGAAAATGGAACGAGTTAAGTAATTAGCAAAAACTCTGTATCCGTATTTCTCAGTTGTAACCATGTATTTTGCCCAATTGAGATTGATTAATATATATTTTTAAAAAAGTAATTAGCAAAAACTCTGTTTTTTCTTATCTTATTCGTGTACCGTATCTATTTTTTTGTTTCTGCTCCATAAGGCAATCATGCTCTTTTATTTCTCTACACAATAATGTCTACCTTGCTCTGGTAATTTTATTGTATGATTATATTTTATAGAAAGCACATATTTGTTCGTTTCTATATATCACATCACCTTTCGTTGTAGTTTCCAGTTTCCACAATTGTCGCGTTTATATATTCTTTAAGAAATATTTAATTTCAAGCATATCCAAACTGAGGCAAAATGAATTTTTAAAGAATATACTTAAATTATTATTAATTTTGTATATTACATTTATTAGTATCTATGACCAACCGCTATTATTAGGTTTAGTTGCAGAGTAGTTTTCCATTACTTTCCTGCTATTTTATAAAAAATCCAATTATAAATTTGTTGACTATAGTTGTATCAATGAATCATTTATACAATCATAGACCTATAAAATATACTCCCTCTGTTTCTAAAAGAGTGATGTTTTGAGTTTTATACATTAATTAAGAAAAAATCATTTTTATAATTTTTTATTATTTTATTATTAGTTTAATAATATTAATCTCACTTCTCTCTTTTCTCTATTGGTCACAAATAAAAATAGTAATGATGCTATTACAAAACATCAATCTTTATAGAACAAAAATAAAACTCAAAACATCAAATATCTAGGAACAGAGAGAGTATTACGGAATGATCACAATCATCACATAATAAGTACGGACACACAACAAGCCAAAACTAAACTGATATTATTGCTCGAGTTAGTATTTAATTTGTAATATCTATCTTGAGGTGCAACCAAAATAATTAAATATTGAAATCATAATAGCAATTGAAGTAATATATGACTCTCGAGAGAAATTTGCGTGGGATAAAGAATTTTCAAATAATGATAGTCTAGCTAGTGGTCATTGTTATGTTAGTTCAGACTAATTATTGTCAACCTTTTTTCTCCTACCACTAAAATACTCATGTATCGTGAGATCTCTCTTTAACAAAACTAAATAAACTTTAGCAACCATTATATATGTTATGTGAGTAGACTATCAATTACATTTGATAAAGAAGAAAAATCAAATGATCAACAGGTGAATAATCCGAATAAGTTATTCAGATTATTTCTTTTGTGTAAAAGAAAAACTATCTAACTGTAAGAACTTCTTTCTTAGCTTCTTTGCTTGGGCAAGATGAGAGACTTCTGAAAAACATGTACTCCCATGCATATTCCAGGAACTTTAGAATAATGTTTTCCAATTCTACTCCCATGACGTTAGCTAGAACCAGGATTGGCTGCAAAGTACGCCAATACGCCAACGAAAGGAGCATTGATGTAAGTAGTGGGCTCGGACTTGCGGAAATCGGACCGATCATCATCGTACTTATCGTCCTCTCCAGGCCCACCCACCACCGCTCCAATCAAAACGTTCGGGTTTGGTTCGGTGGAATTGAAATAAACCGACCCATCTTTGCATCTGATGGCTTCTGGATGATCCTTGATCGATGGCAATGATGAGCCACGGTGGTGGATCCTCTTTGGATATCTCTCTCCGTATCCGACCATGTACGATAATCCCATCGGATTATCCCCCAATATATAGTTCACCTTCAATATCCATTATCAAATAAACATTCAAGATGACAATTAATTACGTAAATGATGAATTTTGCAGGATATCAAAACAAATTGCTATTCACTTAGTCTTTGTTTCTATTAATGTAAGAAGTATTAGTCACTAACACTTGAAAACGAAATCGTACATATTTTTTATTTTAAAAAAGTAAAAAACTGCTAAGGTGTAATCATTAGACAAAAAAAATGGTAGTTACCTATACGATTTATGATAAAAGTGATATTTGCACCAATCTACAATTAATTCCGTAGATTATAAGCTACAACCATAGATTTCTATAATCAGTTAACATAATAATGATATATTCATTGCATAGACCATCGTGAAAATGTATTTCTTTTCAGTTTTCTTTCACGCATCACTGCATGCGATAGAAGTCCGGTTAAGTGATTATAGCATCAGAAACCCGATCACTCAACTCAAAACCGGATAATCTGAATTATAGACTAACCAATCATTAAAAAACTTAAAATCAAACCAACACAGACGACCGGTCTAACCTGTTTCTTGGCAAGACGGCGGAGATGATCAGGAGGGATGGTAAGGGTGCCGCAATTGAGGGAGAGAGAGCTTCTTGAAAGATATTGCGCGTATACAAGGAGGAGGAAAGATATGGTGGTCGCATGTTGGAGCTGGCTACCGCCGGGTTTGTAAAGTAGACCGGCGGGAGTATACTCAACATGCGGTCCTGAAGATTGCGGGACCAGACTACACATGAAGCTCTCCGCCGATGCCTTGTACGCCTCTAAGTTGTACATATTTCCTTCTATAACTTCCTGTGCCGAAATTAAAACAAACCCCAATTTCATCAGTTATGATACCGGTTTGGTTCTTAACCGGGTCAGTTTGGATTCACGTACACGGAAAGAAAGAACATAACTTTGCTATGCACGTGAAAGTCTCGTGCTTACTAACTTTTACTAAAGTATTTAAAGTTAATTTCGATTTGATCCCCCATATTTGATGTTACTATAAATTTTGAAACTAACCTTTGAAACGAGAACATTAAGTCCACCAACTTTGTTGTCCCAGCCAAATTCGTCAACGTTATCGTTAGCACCAAACGGTTCACGGTTACTCTCTATGTAATTAAGGTAGCTTTCATCACCAGTCGCTTTTCTCAACCAAGCTGCTCCCCACAATAACTCATCCTACCCATAACAAAAAACCAACATTAAAAAAAGTCACCAAGAAAAAATATACTCCATTTGTTTCAAAATATAAGGCGTTTTAGCTAAAAGTACGCCAATTAAGAAGATCTACTTTTTAAAAGTTCAACCAATCATAAAAGAGACTGTATAATAAAAATAATCAAAAAATATTAAAGTAATATATAATTTGCATAGAAACTTGAAAACGACTTATATTTTGAAACAAAAAAGTTTCTCTAAAACGCCTTATATTTTGAAACGTAGGGAGTAATATTTATCATGATTTGTGGCGTGGTCTAGTGATCCTCTTGAATTTTTGTTAACTTCTTTAGTGATACAAATGTTGGAGTTTTTGTTTACCTGAAATCCGTTGAAATCGCAGTAGAAAGGGCAAACGTCATTTTTGATATCATCATTGCTGCTATAAGCACCGCGATACATATCAGCGAAGTGGAAAGTTTTTACAGCATTTTGGAGCAATGTCTGAGAGTATCCTGCATCCGATGATCGAAAAGCAATCGAAGCAGCTGAGAGGGCTGCCGTTGTTTCTCCGGCCACTTCAGAAGCCGGATTTGGGGCATTAACAACGTAAGCAGTCCTTGGTGTATCCATATCTTCTGGTCTTTCCCAGCAGTTATGATCTGCTATTGGATCACCTACCTATCACAAGTTCGTTTAATTTTTTCCCTACCTTAGTAAGTTTTCAAATAATAATATTCATCAAGCCCTCTAAATAAAATATATATGTAAATCAAGATACTAATTATTAATGAATAAAATAAGAAATACACCTAACAAAATCAACATCATATATGATGTTTGATTTCTCTAATATTGGAACAAAGAGAATTGAACGATTCTGAAAGAAAGAGGTCTCTATCATCGTATCTCAACTCTAATTATTAAATGATCATAGTTTATTAAAATTATGATGCAAACGACCATTGAATCAACGTTGAGAATTCCATAACCCATTCACTAATTTATTTTATAGGTGTATTATTGAATATTCATTATCCATTTATTGCTGAATTATATAGTCAACAAAATTTAATTTATTGTTGAAGGTTCCACAAAAAAAAAGGCAGAAAAATAATCGCAAAACCTGCAACTAAAAAAACTAATAGTTGGTCATCTTTGAATTTACTACAAAGTACGGACACACACAAAATAAAACCAAAATTAAATTGATATTTACGTTGCAAACTTATAAATTAAAGTTCCTAGTAAATTGTCATTTCCTCTAATTATTCATGCGATGATTATATGCGTATGGTACGTACTACTGGATTAACAATAACTTATTAAATTGATATCTATTTATGAAATCTTCCTATAAAAAATGGAAAAATAAAATAAAGAAACAGAGAGAAGTAATAAGGGCCAAAAAAAGTGTGACGCAACGACAAAAAAGGTAAATGCAGAGAGACTCTTGAGAACACCCACTTCACGGGTTAGTTTCATCTCTTGGCAACTCAAACGATTCAGTTTCCTAAATCTCTGTGTTATTTTAATTCCCCAATTTACCCTTCCACATTGTTGCTTATTCACTACCGGCAAAAAAAAAAAAAAACAGTTACGAAATTGAATTGGCCCATTAAAACCATACTAACCTGGACGAAGATCCGGTTTGGTAGCTGAGAAACGGATTTGAGGAGGTAATTAGAGCTCCACCGGAGAGCCACGAGGGAGTTTCGTAGCTCCGACGAAGGCATGAGTTCGCCGAATTCAATTACGCTCCACGCGAGCATTGTGGTGGTGAAAGCCATCGGGAAATTGAATTTGACGTTGTCTCCGGCGTCGTAATAACCGCCGGTTAAATCTGTGTTGTGAGTCCAACCGTCACTCAGACCGGAATTACGACGCCACGTCATACGCTGGTCGTTTGGGAGGTAACCGGAGCGTTGGCCTTCGAAGAAGAGGATTGATTTTGAGAGTGCGTCCGAGTAATCGTGCTGGTTCGACGACATTGTCGGACGCAGGAGGAGGAGGAAGAAGCTGAAGACAAGTGAGAGAGGGTATAAATGTAATTTCATGGTGTATCGGCGTCGGTGGCCGCGGCGGTGGTGGTGATGGTGATGAGGGGAGAGGCTTACTGTCTGTGACTGATCCGTGTTTGCAACTACGAGTGTGTCACGAGATGTGTTTATATATAAGTGGGAGAGTTTTTATTTATTTATATAATATATAGAAAGGAATCATTAAGTGATTTAGTGCCTTTTGATATGCGATTTATGCTTTTTTTTTCCTTCCTTTTCTTAATTATCTTATGGAAAAAAACATTATGCTGTTCTGCAATTTTTCGTCTAATACCCGTACTAGAAATTGAACAGTAAAACTAAATTCTTTGAGTGATATTTTCCATTTTGTTTCTAGTATGTTTTTTGTAATTTTTTCTTCTTTTGTTTACAGTAACTCACACATGTAGATTAGAATTTACTAGCAGGATCAAAGTAAAAACTTTAAAAGTATCAATATTGAGGTTTTATATAAATAAACTAAAGTCCGTTAGCTATGTTAGAAAAGCTTATATAATTCATTGGAAAATTAGTCGAAAATGGAATTAAGAATGTCCAAATTTGAATACATAACAATAGATATATCAGAATAAGTTAAGCTTATTACACAAGCAAAATTTCGACTAAAATCTGAAATTGTGTATTAGGGAATTATTTTGCAATCGTGGATTACAAAAAAAAAAAAAACTAATTTAATGAGAACTGAATAATGTCATTTGTGCGTGTGGCAGCACTACCGACAAATGAAACTGAAGCGAGCGCGCGAGCAAGCCCATGAGTGTCACTCTTTTGGTTTTTGCTCGAAAGATGAACTAAAACTAAATATTTTTTCATTTTCTGTTTTTGATATCTCTTTAAGAATGCAATGAGCATATCTCTTTATGAATATAATGAGCATTATGAATGTAAAATAGGTTTAACAATGAATAAAAAATAGTATGACGACAAAAAGAAAAGAAAAAAGGGTAGTATAAGCGACGGGATTAGCATAATAATAAGATTGCTTTCTCAGTGTTGTGTAATCGATAATGAAAAAAAAAAAAAAAAAAATCAGAATCTCGTGACTCTGTGGGACCTGCATGCTACTGTAACATGAATCAGGCTTTGCGTTTAAGCGTTAAGTTGCTAAGGAAAGTATACAAAAAATCATAATTTTTATATGTTTGTGTGTACATAAATATTTTTTCTATGAGTTACCTACTAAGAAAACATTATCCAATTGTATGTTTTTTTTGTTCCTACCGACTATGTACGTAGTAGCGCCTCGCTTCTAATGATTTAGTCTTTAGCGTCCACGAAAGACTGTCTCTCATTTTCTCATCTTTACAAATTAACTTTGTCATCTTTATCTTCATATGAGCAACATCCATATATTTAGCCTTCTTGTAGAGCCAACCAATTAACTTTTTGATTCCACTGATAACACAAAACGACATAAGAAACCTACAAAAATTAAAACTAAGGATAACGATATATTTAAAAACAAAACACTTTTCCAGTTGAATTATAATAAAGGGATCAGACCTTTGGATTTGATGTTTAATTTTCTTCATTATATTAGAAGGGATCTTGAACCCATTAATGATCATCGATCTTAGAAGGTGTCGGCGTGTCGCGACATTGTGGACTAATGGAGCGTATCAGAAAAAAGTGAGAAGGGTCAATACATACCGAAAGTTAGTTAGTTAAAATGTTAGGCGAGTAGAAATATCAAATATATGAATTCATCATACTTTTTATACGAAACAAATCTCACGTAATACTAATAGAAAAAAATAAAAATAGAACGTATATTTGTGGGGGACTTTGCCATTTTCACAAGCAAGATAATCATGTTATTTTTTGCCTTATCCTTTTATCGATCATTTTTCTCTTTTCCTCTGAAAATCTTAGCTTTACGCTTACATGATTTTTTGTCCTAGGAAAATATCATACCAATATGATCTTATAATGTCCAAAACATTAACTTGGTTGAAAATCATATATATGAGATGAATTAATTAAGATTCCACTAACACAAGTTCATTTTTTTTGTTAAATGAATAAATAGACAATTGGTGTCATACTCATACATAAATCAATAAATGTATTAGAAGTGACTTAACCGATTAGTGAAAATAAGTATAGGCATTATTATAAGATAATATTAGATCCCTGACAAATCTATGTCTCATTGCATTGGTACCATTACGTACCTTGTGGATCACGACAAGTGACCTCACAGCACATGTGTGTGTTATCTTTTTTTTTTTTTTTTATGTGTATCAAATTGTCGATACCCATTTCTACAAACATTAACCTAAAAGCAAAGGGTAGATAGATCCATTTCATTGTTGGGGATTAAGCCTAGAGAGAAAATTAGACTAGTGAATTTCACAATGGGCTTTATTTCGAGTTAGTATGTTATTGTGTTTTCAAAGCCTATTTCTTAACAAAACAATAGCTGACGTCATTAATTATTTTTTTAAAAAATTATTTTTAAAAAGTTGAAGTGTTAAATTTTGTTTTAAATTTTAGTCAAAATCACTATTATTTTTTAAAAACGAGTTTAAGTGTAAATCTATATTACGTGAAAACATGTAAGGACAGGATGCCTAGGCGCGGTTAGTTTTCGACGTTTTTAAAATTTAACACTTAAACTAATTTTTAAAAAGTATTAGTGAAATTAACATAGTTTCAGAAAAAAAAAAGGGAGACTCACAAAAATGCCCCCTTTTTAATACATTTTTTCAAAAATGCCCCCTTTGGCTGTCCATTTTTAAAAATACCCCTTTTTATGTACAAAATGACTAAATTACCCTTCTTTTAATAAAAGATATCACAAATATATAAGGAAATATAACAAAATTAGGTCCACAAAATACAAAATATTTTTTGGCGGGAAAAGTGATCCCGCAATTTTTCCCGCCAAAACACTTGTAAAAACTTGTAAAACCATTAAAATACCTTGTAAAATTTTCCCGTAAAACTTTTTCCCGCCAAAAAATTTTTCCGCCAAAAATTTTTTTTTGCGGGAAAAGTGATTCCGCAATTTTTTTGGCGTTAAATTTTTGGCGGGAAAAATTTTCCCGCCAAAAATTTACAAGGTATTTTAAAAGTTTTTTACAAGGTATTTATAAGGTTTTACAATGTATTTAAAAGGT